TTGGAAAGTGGTAACTTTTGACAAAGAAACTAGTATAAACCTCTTGCTATCATTTGGAAATTCCAAAGGCGCTATGAGGGGAATTTTGAAAAAGAACTTTTCAAATCTATTCGTAAATTTTGTTGCAAATTTATTGGTAAATAGGCCGATGACAACTCTGCTTATCAATTAAGCTGCTATAAATTTTGAAGTAAGAAGTTGGTTTCGCAAAATAATATCTGCTAAGCACATCTAATTTATTTTGCAGTTTTATGCTATTTTCTTAATGATGCATTGTGGATAATTTTTTACTGGAAAATTTCTCCTTTATTCATTAAAAAAGACTAAAAGTAATTAATGCAAAGTCTAAGAAGATTAGTCTTTTTTGACTAAAGTAGTATTAATGCACAAATTATTTTCAAAAATAAGTTGTGCTTTCCTTGAAACACAGCGAATGTTGTCGAGTAATTGTTGATCGAAGTAGGGTGCAAAAATTCTCATGATTTTTTACAAAGTAATTACTTTTTAACTATTATATTAGTATCTTACCATGCTTTTTTGCCGGTTTTACTGTTAATTGTTAAAATCACTTGCTCGATTTCTTTTTTGAACTGATGGCTCTGGATTATAAATTTTAGATGCAAAAAAAAAATTAATAGTGTATTTTTTTTTATTACAATGTTTTTCCATTAGCTTTTCAGAAACAACAAAGAGCACAAGAAATCTCAGCCATTCTGCTTGCTAATTACAGATTTTCAGAATGATTCGTACTAATTAATGTTACTGCAGAAGCACTCTATGTGGTTAAGCCTTTTTAAACTACTCAAAACTATGACATTTTTGATTTATCATAAATTTTTTGCTTTAAGTGATGTTCGAGTTGTTATAATTGTTACGCAGATCCTCCCAAAAAGTCTAGTTTTATTAATCGACCATTCTTGCAAGAAAAAAATTTATTTTTAGAAGACTGTGAATATAATGCTTAACCTTTAATAATTCTTGAGACTCTAAATCTGAGTCAACATTTTTCACAGTTTTTATTCAATAATGGCTTTATGTATGTGTTCTGTCAAAAATTTTTGTTCGTTTTTGTACTTTGCTTGCACCTTCAGTGATTTCTTCTCTATCTGAAACCATTATTTAGCAAAATGACACTTTACTAAAAAGGTAATCGACTTTTAGAGGGAGAAACTGCTGCCACAAGATAGGTCACGAGAAGCTTCTCCATCATATCGAGGCTCACCTCCGGTTTACAGAAGTCACTCACCTCCATTCCAAAGTCCTTCTCCTAGCTCACCCTCTTCGGTATCTTCCTATATAAACCCGGGGTATAAAAATTGTAAGCTTTTGAGTCTATCCTAATCAGTTTGTTAATATGAAACTTGTACCATTATTAAATAATTTTTTACAGCGCAAGTCTCGCCAGGTTTTCTAAGACAAAACGGTAATGGTCAAGAGCCTAGAGCTAACTCTTTCTACAGGTAAGAGCAAACGTTGGATTAGATAATTGCTATGATAACTTGTAAATTGACAATAAGAAGAGCGAAATTTTTAATCTAAGTAATAAAGATTTGAAGAATTTCTTGTTAGTGGATGGCCTGTTTTTTAGTTAGTGCTTATTTGTCTTTTTCACCTCAATATACTGTAGAAATTGGACACCGAGAAGTTTTATAAAGCATCTATTTCCCCATGTCTTTTGGTGAGTATGAAATCACTTAATGCACAGTTTTTTGAATAACGGAGGGTTTTTTCCTCATTGCTTCTTCCGTTCTCCCATTACGAGTCCATCAGGAAAGAATAAGTTTCACTTAATAAACACCAATCTTAGTTCCTATCTCTCCCTTGAAAATGACTTTCAAATTTTTGGTTTTGATGTCTGAATGAACCGTGTTTATGCTTTTATCAATGGCCCAATTACAGTGTGTCAACTCATTCCTTAAGGTTTTAAAAAAGCTTATGTTTACTATTAAGTGCCATCAAAGAAACATTTTACATTTCAAGAAGTACACAACAAACATTTTTAGTGAACGTGAAACAGTAGCTCGAGTTCCGTATCCGCGGCTGACGGCACATCGGTCAACGCCAGTTTTTAGTGAAAACCACCGATCGCCATTTGACGATGGCTATTTACCAAATCACTACCAACGTTTGTCACCACCTAATTTCCGGGATAATGCAGGTTATTTGATTTTGCTTAGAATAAACAAAAGTGAACTGCGCTAATTTTCATTATTCAGTTTTTTTTTCGTCTTCCATTTGATGCGCGCCAAGATATGTTTTTTTAATGGCTGCAGTTCTAGGTCCGCAAGTCGTTCGAATTTCCAGTCACGAAGACGAAAGACGGCCTGCCATTATACATCACAGACGTCTACCCATCATTGAGAACGTTACTTCACGACCACCAATGCTGAAATCCTCTGGCCGCTATTATGGTGATGGAGCGATTGTCGGACATGACCATACTCCGTACGATTCGCCGCATAACAACTTGTCTTTAGATTTCTATCCTTCTTATGGAAATGTTCCGTCACCATCACCAACTTCAAGCCTTGAAATTCCACTGTATCGTAATCCTCCATACAGAGAACACAGAGGTCGTTCACCATTTCTGTGTCATTCACGAGCTTTTGCTAGCAATGACTCAGACTATCGAGAATCTCCAGCAGTTTATTACTCTAGTGGTAGCGGTCCAGAGTTGAACATACGACGAAAATGTGATAAACCTCAGTCTTGGTCTTGTCATGTTCTCGTCAGTGATTCGGATAATGAAAGTGACAACAAGTGGGCAATGGCTTAACTACTATTTACGGCAGGACCGATACTGCATAAATCTTTTTGAAATAAATTTTTTTTCTGTATTTTTATTTTAATTTTTTTTTTAAATTTATGTTTGTATTTTAATGTGATAACACCTTTGTCAGCATTAGTGTTAAAGTTTTAATAATTTGGAGGTTAAAAATTAGCGTTCATTTAGGTATTTTTATATTAGTGCTTCAATGTAGAAATTTTTGGTCAGTATGATACGTAACTGTCAGTATTTTTAGCGTATAGTTGTCAGATTTTGAAGTGTTTAAAATATTTTTTACTTGTGATCTGTGGTCTATTTATTGTCTGGTTGGCAAACTCATTACACTACTTTACTGAAGTGGAAAATGTCTGAAATATACAACCATTATCTGTTGCATCTGTTTGTGTGTCTGTGTCTGTGTGTCTGTGTGTCTGTGTGTGTCTGTGTGTGATTGTGTGATAGGGTGCGTGTGCACGAGAAACTACGGAGAACAGCTGCACTTATTTTGTTTCTTTATTCGTGACCATGTCTTCTACTATGTGTTGTTAATCTGAAAATTAATTAAAAATTTTAAATTGAGTTATTCGTTAGGAACTTTTGTTAATTTCAATGAGCTTTTTGATAGTATTAGTTTGATACAGGAATATCTCATAGTAACCAATAATGCTTTTTTTTTT